CAACTGGGAAGGGGTGAAACGAAACTGTAAACAATAAAGCATTGCAAAATGAAAATAAACAAAAAAAAGTAAAAAAAACCTAAAATCAAATTTAAAAAAAAAAAAAAAAAAAAAAAAAAAAAAAAATGTGATGATTGATTAGTTTTCTTATTTTTTTGGGGGGGTGAAAAGTACGTAAGTAGGTGTTTAGGGGAAAGAGTGAACCCGTATTCAAAGGATTTAGAGCAAAAGGTAAATGAACTACAGTATATACAGTTATATTTATCAATACGCATCAATCTATTCAATTGATAAATGATAGAGGAGTTTTAATCCTTTCAGTAATTGGTAAGACTGAGTAATATATATTCTTTACAATGCTAAATCTCTTAACATACAATAACCGGCTATTCACCATTTATACATGTACATATAAGTAGCATTATTAAGCGTAGAAGTAATGTAATATATGTGTCATTAAAAACTGAAGAAATTTCATATCTAATCGGAGGTTTTTTTCCTAGTATTTTTTACCAATTTAAAAGTCAGCGCATGATTCAATCTTAACATGAAAGGGGAGTACTTCAATAACTTCGTTATGATGATGTGAGATACATCAATCAGTGTTTGTTAGTACGGGAACATGATTTTTTGTGTGATGTTGTATAAAGCAATGCTTGATTGATCAAGCTTTGATTCCCCCCTCTCCGTTGATGCTCCTCCTCTTGAACCGCAAAACTTACTAAACCCTTTTTTTCTCTTCACTGTTATATAAAAAGAAAAAAATAACTTTTCTTAAACGCGTTGAAACAGAAACGAATACCTTTTAAAGTTATTTGAAAGAACGCATATAAGCTTTTAAAACTTTAAAGAATCTATTACTTTGAAAATTGAAAACAATGTTTTCTACTGACTCGTCTGAGAATTCAAAAGGTATGCCTCTTTAAAAAATATATGTTTTTGTATAACTTGTTGATTTCTTTTTTTAAACTATTTAACTAATATTGTTTGCTTCTTTAAAAAAAAAAGTTGTTCCTTTTCGCGCTACTAATTGCGTGGAAAACACTAAAAACACTAATGGTCCCCTTTCTTGTCACCATAACATACCCCCTCCACAATTATACTCTTCAAATACGACTATGCTATCATTCAATAATGTTGAACAATCGTATTCAAGAGTAGTTGGTCAAGTCTATTCAAGAGAAACTGTAACGACAATTTATGGTGATCCGACTTCATCAAATTGTTGGGTAAGTTGTGCTACCCCTCGGAAAATATTTTTTTCCACTGTGGATGCTACATCAACTTCTATGCTGTGTGCTGTCTCGTGGTTTCTTCATGTGTGCGGTTGTGAAACTGTCAAAGAGTTGTCAATTTCCTTCCAATTTTTGTCCGGTCTTATTTCCTAATTTGACATTGGAATTTCTAAAGATCTGCAATTCTATTTAATGTTAAAGAACCAACGTCAAGTCGGTTTCTATTGTTATGTGTGTCAATCCATTATAAATCCTCAAGATTTTCATTCTTGGGTTTCTTGCGCTTCAACGAATTGTGACGTTTACGCTCATGGTGGTACGTTATCTTTGTTATCTTTTATTATCCCACTATCCCTTGTTATCATTGTTATTAGTGTTATGATGTGTTATCATTTTATTATTATATATATCTTATTATTATGTGTTATAATTTATCGTTATATGCTTACTATCTTAGCTATTCCATATATAGCGAATAATATGTCACATGCTATTCTTTCTAATATGAATTAATATGAAATATTTATATATGTATATTTTTTTTTTTTTTATATATTAGGATGTTTAATGAAAAATGGGTTTCATGATAGGAATGGTTCTTGGTATTGTCCAAGATGTATTTCTGCTACTCATCAATCATTTTCGGTGAGCGATACTTGTACGAATCATTTCAATTTCCCTTTTTCCTTTAGTTTATTATCTGACCTTTTTTTATAGGCTCCTGTTCGTTCAATGGAACAAATTACCTCAAATTCTGTTGAAAATAATCCCTCTCCACCAATAAATCCATTACATTTATTGTTGGAAGCTTCTGATCAAATAGTATGTAATTCTATATTAATATATTTATATATTTATATATTTATATATTTATATATTTATATTAATATATTTATATATTTATATTAATATATTTATATATTTATATTAATATATTTATATATTTTTATCCATTTTTACTTATTATGTCATTTATACTAATAAATATTTTTTTCATTTTACGCGTTTTACGCTTATTAGCAATCAAATTCAGGTCCTGATAATAATATCTCGGTCAACACTCCCGTAATTCATCGAGAAACTACATCATCTCAATATTCTGATGTTAATAACAACTCTTCTCATACCGACTTTATGTCCTGTGATCCTGTTCCCGATCAACGTCTTTTGAATTATAACACGAATATTGATTTAATGTGTGCTAACGGTGATCATGATGATGCGGAAACTATGCCCGCAAAGTTTAAAGCTCAATATGCTTCTTATAATGAAGGTTATTTTTCTTGTATTTCCTTTTTTTTTTTTTTTAATTATATTACTATTTAATTATCTAAACTATTACCTTTATTATTATTTATTAGAACGTAATAACGTTATTCGTAATCTTGAACGCACCCGTATGCGTCAAGATAAAGTCTCTGATGCTCTTAATGATTCTTTAAATCGTCTTACCGATGAATTCAACAAGCATCTTAAAAATAATCATAATTTACGTGAAGATAATAATAAACTTAACAATGCTTTGCAAAAACTTAAACTCGCTTTGATTCCTTTAGCTCAAGAAAGGCCTGTTTTGCAAGTATTACGTAAGATAACTCAGAACGATAATTTACAAAGTCAAGATATAACCACCGACAACGTTTTAAATTTGTTTATGGGTCTTTTACCTCAATCTACTGTCTCAAATTTATTCGGTACCTCTTTATCAAATCATCTGGGTACTTCAAGTTCTTCTTCCACTATTCAATCTTCTTCCTCCCCTTCATTGGATTCTTGTCAAAAGTGTTCAAATTTTGGTGAAAATTTGATCCGTTGTTATTATTGTCAAAAAGTTCAACATGTAGAATGTTGTAGTAAAGATGAAAAATCTTCGATCGATACCATGAATGAACGATGGACTTGCGTAGATTGTAAAGATTCTTCTATGGCTAAAAGAAAGCATTACAGTGATAAAAAATCTAATTCCAACGGTCCATCATTAACTTTAATTGGAAATTATAAACGTATCAAAACAAATGATAAAAACTCTTTAAAAGACAATTCATCTTTATACAGTATTAGCACTCATAACCTTGATAATTCTGGCGTTTTATCTCCTCAACTCACTCCACAACAATTAAAGTCAACAAACGGCGGTACTCAAAATAATGTTGATGATATGGTGGAGCGTTATGCTATGCCACATACTCCAATGTCTGACGATGATAAAATTACTAGTGATGATAATGATAGTAGCTTTAGTAGTGATTTAGAAATCGATGATGAAAGTCATAAAGATAATTCAACACCTGGAACTTTTGATCGAACTCCTCCACCTGATAATGGTCCAGAAGCTTCTAGACAACCTGCTCGTTTCGATGGTGACATGTAAGTCATTTATATTATAAAAAAAATAAATAAATAAATATAATATATATATATATATAATTATTATTATTATTATTATTATTATTATTATTTATTTATATTAATAATAAATGAATCATTTACATCGCATATAACCTAATATAATCATAGTTTTTATTTTTGGTTGAAAAATATATTCTCATATAATTTATATAATCTATATAATTAATCTATATAATCTCCATAATCGATCGCATATATTTAGGTATACACCACGTTGGGTTCGTGGTGTTGGAAAATCGAAAGAAGGTCTTTGTCCTCATTGTGAACCCGCTCGATGGCTCAAAACGAAAATTTCTGCTTATTGGTATGCTAAATTTTCTATTTTCAATCGATTTAAGGTCATCCGACAACTTACGACAGTCACACGACAAAATTAATATAGTTTGGGTGACTTTAACTCGGGTCAAAATAGAATTTCCATGATTTATTTTTTTGTATTTTTATAAAAAAAAAAATTTACTCATTTATACGTGTTAGGTATCATTTAAATTACCAACATGGGATCTCTTCAATTACTGGTAGACCATTTGCTCAACCAATTGCTGAACGACTTAATAAGAAATCAGGTATGAAAGAGGCTTTGTGTCATAAATGCAATAAATGGATCCTGAATCAATCGCCAAGAGATAAGGATGTATTGGTTCCTGAAATCTATTGGTATGTTTAATTTTTAATCTTTTCTGAAATTATTCAAATATATGTTAATCGATTTTTTTATATTTTAATATTAGGTATAAACATGCACAAAAATGTCATCACACTCCTTGAATATGAAGCCCGGATTAATAAATTTTGGTCCGAGTGAATTGTTGTTTAATATATGATCCCATGATGGTCTAATAATAAAATGAAAAAGAAAAATTTCATTTCAAATAACCTTTCTTTCTCCAACACTCCAATTGTGAAAGGTTTTTCGGGTTTCTTTCCGGGTTTCAAATTCCTATTTTCATAGCGCCGCAGTATTGTTTGTTTGTCTTTGAAATTATGTATAGATTGCCAATTATATAGCATGTAATTTTCCTTTCCTCTTTTTTTTCAATTAAATCCATCTTGACGACGTAAATTGAACAATGGAAAATAAAGTTGATTCTATGTAAGGAATCTGGTAAGGCTTTACTCCGTAAATACCTAGTAACATATGATATTGCTGTACTATATTCGGTATAAATTTGCAAATATTGGTTACAATCCGATATCTCTGGATATCTCCGTTCTCGGATAAAATTGGTTATATTACCGGATAAAAAATAAATACAGTATATTCTAATCTTTCTTAGCAGCTTTAGTTGGTAAACTAAATGTTAAGCTTGGTACGACGCCAATGACGACGTTTAGCATTATATCTGGATATTTAATCAAGAACCGTTAATCAAAATTTGTTTGTAAGACGCACCTAAAAGAAAAAAACTTACCTAATCGTATTTCCAGTACGAAGACGGATCCATTGAGGAATAGGACGATTCTGTTTTTGTTTCTTTCCAAGGACACGTTTGATTCTGAATGTTTTATGAGAGGGCTTTTTTTTTTTTTAGAAATTTTGATCAGTAAAGCGGCAAGAGTACATTGATCGATAATGAAATAATGAATTTCAGGTAAGTATATAAAAGCAATTCGTTTTGTTATTTTTACAGACGCTTTGCTGTTTTTTTTTTTTTATTGTGACTCGAAAGACCAAGACCAAGACAAAAAGCATACCATGGTAAAACAAGTTCTCTTGTCTATTTACCAAAAAGTAGAGAAGGAGAAAAAAAATTGATTGAAAATCATCATATAAATTTAGAATCCAAGTTGCACGTTTATCACGTGCTCAAAAATTGGTTTTATTAATTTCTCTATACGTATTTATATTCAGATAAAGAATTACATGTAATATATCAATATATATATATGTATATATATATTTGTATGTATATTTATAATTAGGCTTCAGCATCTTCCTTAGTTATTTCCTTAGTTTCAAATTTTGGACCAAAAAATAAATCATGGAAATTCTATTTTGACCCGAGTTAAAGTCAC